CACTGGTAACGCGCGGAGCGGAGCAGCTGGCACGTCCGACCTGCACCGCTGCCGGCTTGGAACTGTTTTCACATTTAACTCAATTAAAGGACGCAATTTAAAATATATTTTAAACATTTTCGAAAATATTATTTTGTAAACGTATAACAAAAATTCGAATGTAAGAAAAGATCAAAGAAATATGAAGTAATATACACATTATAACTTATGTGCTATCCAACTGCCTGGACAAACCAGTAATTTTACATTCGGGAAACGCAATACATTCGGACTACGTTTGCGCGACTATGTTTGAGGTCAAATTACTCAAAAAATATTTAAATTTTCAAGACATTCATCAGGACCTTACTTCAAAATCTGTTTTTTAAGAACATGTTTCATTAAGGAAAAAATGTATCTTCAAAATTGTAGTTGAAGGAAGACGGCAATCTTTTATTTTTATTTTCGGAGAATCGGGTCTTTTTAATGAGTATGTGCTCTGCACATTTCCCTTTAGAGTCCTTAACGGTATCTAAGGTTCAAATTTAATAAAAAAATTGTGTTCCGTTTTTAAGAATAAATGGTTTAAAGACAATAAAAATTGCCTATGTTTGATACAAAAGTTCCCACAAAATACTCTTTTCAAAAACTTGAACATGACATGAAGTTTGAATCTAGCTTTAATGAACACATTTCATTTAGAAAAAAATTATATTCATAATTGTAGTTGTAGGAAGAGGCATAAATATTTTTACCTTTTGCAATTTTCGAAAAATCAAAGTTTTCAAGGAACATGAGATCTGCACCGTTTTCTTAAATGTTGTTCATACTATCCAATAACAAAGTGTAATCAAGAACGTTGGAGCCATTTGTTTGAAAATTTTGAAAATGTTCCAAGGACTTCATGTAAAGTAACCACAAAACTAAAACCAGTTTCTTATTCAGGGTTGGCGACATCAGCCAAATAGGTTCAGGAATATCAATTTTGGAGAAAATCGGCTGAACGATTCCGCCGCTAGCGTTGTTCAGAGACGGACAGACAGACGTTTTGCCCTCAATCGATTTTTCGGAATGAAATAATGTGAAATGTTTTCTCCATGAATCTGAAAATAATGTTTCAACATTGAGGAGCTATCATCAAGCCTCAAGTCAATTTTCGTATCTTCATCAAAATTTGCATCAAATTATTGAATTTTTTTTGTCCAAGAGAGAAAAGTACGCGTAAAAAATGGCACAAGACCAATTTTGGGAGAATACTATGAAATTTCGAAAAAGCAAAAGTTTTGTTACAGAATGTAGGTGTTTAAAGTTTTGTTAAAAACATTTTTTAACGCGGGAGAAAATGATTTTGTTATAAAAATTTGGCCGGACTCTCTTGTTGCTACTGTTATTCAGTCGGCGCAGTGGCGTCAGTAGTTTCAGTGGCCCATCTCTGCCGGTCCAAGGGAATTGTAACGAATAAGAGGTTGAATAGTTTTAATCTAGATTTTGTATTAGAGAAGCATTGAAGACTTTTGCTTCTTGCATTTCACCATGAATGACATGATGTTAACACCTTGTGCTTTTAGAATAATGAATGTCCAGGCAGCTATTTCTGTGATGATTGCAATAAATTTACACTCGCATGTTTGCAGATTCTACAATGGTCCTGAACCCATTTCTGAAGAGAGTTCCGGAGGAATTGCAGACTACCTTCATAAATGACTTCATGACAGAATATCAAAGGGAAAAAGTGAAATATATGTCGATGGTCTCCAGCCAGGAATCAGAGCGGAACGACACAGCACTATATCATTTACATCTAATTACGCACGTGGAGAAGCACAATCAGGATGTTTCGTGAAGTATGAGATTTGGGCACTTCGATAATCTAAAGAAGGGAAATTAAGGAAATGGCTCTGAAGTGAATGAACTTTTCTTTTATTAACATTTCGTGACACAATAGTAGTAGTAAAAAATAGTAGTGTAATACGGGTTTGGAATGATTTATTAACTCCTTGGTAACATGCACAAATTTCAAAATGTTTGCTTTATATTTATTATACATGGTTAAAAAAAATAATCATAGGGCCGGAGAGGAATCCCTTGGTTCGCGAGGTCACGTGGCCCTCACCAGCTCTCTTTCCCGAAGCACGAGGTGAGCACTGCCCAATCGCGGTGTCATTGGCGACCGTTAACGTTGCGGATTTCGTACGAAATGAAGGCATCAGGGAAATACTAGGCAACCTCGGTGGCTGAGTCGGGCGGCGCGGCGTCCGTTCTCCGCTGACTCAAGGCGTGCCACGGTCCACGCCTGGCGATCTACTCAATAAAGCCCTGTCCTTTTGTGCGCCCGCCGACGGGCAAACGCGCGGAGGCGTTTATTATTATTATTATTATTATTATTATTATTATTATTATTATTATTATTATTATTATTATTCAATTTTAATAAAATTGGATTATTAAAATTGTATTATTTCATAGCGAAAAATCGCCACTTTTCTGGCTCTCCACTTTCGGGCGCTCCAATATTTGTCGAAATTAAATTTAAAAACATGCGTCGAAACCTGCACATGCAACCGTCCCATTAAAAATACTTATATTCTGTAACTGTTAGTCCTGAATTTAATGTATTTCTTGTCTATATGTAATGAAGTTTTGTTCTGTAATTCAATGTAGTTAATCTGATAGTTACCCATTGTCAATTGTCAATATTCTTTGTCATAGCCTGGTGATGATGGCAACAAGATCCTTAAAACCGTTGAAATAATAAAATCAATTTAATGAACATTTAAAAATAATATTATGTAATACCACAATAGTTGAAAAGTTCTGTTAAAAAATAAAGGGACAAATATGAACAATCATAAATTAATACATTAACAGACACGTGAATATTAAAAAAAATATGATTTGACTAGCGTAGTTGTTTTAAAACTCATGTATGTTAAACCCCACCCTCTTCCCTGTATTTCCATTTTTGTATTAAGAGGGATGTTAATTAAACGTGTTTGTTTAAAAGAATGTTTAAAAAATCTACTTGACCACTATTTTTTTGAGGCTCTCTTATCCTCAGCCACGTGCTCTATATGTCTTCTTGTAATTCTTCTAATTGAACATATTTTAACACAACAATACAATTCACACTTGTCAATACAAAATATCCTTATTACCGAAGGCAAAGATACACCTGTGCAATTGAATCGCATAATATATCAAGTAATTAGTTTAATTTTACAAGCAGAGACAGATTTCCAGGTCTGAATATGTGGGGTAATATTGAGAAGCGCCAAACTTGCGTAAAAATGTAATAGAATGTGTAAGTGCTTGCTAACGCATTGTTCTGAGACTGTTCAATTTATCGAACGCTTTCTGGACGCAGCTCATAATGCCCTTCACCCGCGTGTCAACCGGCCTTCTTTCGTCGTCCCTCCCAGGACTGTCTCCCATGGCAGTCCAAAGAGCATGCGGGTATTTGAAGCAATACAAATAGACAATAAAACAATTTATAACAGAGCTATTGAAAGGTTTTCAAGCAATCTCGTTGAGTCTCTGTCCGCAAGCACCGACCGCCATCCCAGCAATGTCCCAGCTGCCGGAGAGGTGTCGTTAGCAAAGGGTCATGCCCGTCACCCCGGCGCCGTGAACCTTCATGCCGCCACCGCCCCAATACCTGCCAGAGGTTTACAAACATTTCTATGACGTGCCTCTCTCGCTAATACTTCACTAAAAGTATCTGCAATGCGGACATGCCCCTGTGGCCGCCCCCGCCGTCTCTTAACCAGCACGCAAGATGCCGCGGTTCCGAGAGAATCAAACTTCAAATACTAGAAATGGCCTCCAGCCATTGTAGGCACCTCATGAGTCACCACCGCCAATATTCACGTGACGCTCCTCTCCCCGGGCCCAAAGACGCAAACAAATAGCAATTAACTAGCACGGGCAACTTGTGACCCACGGCATACAATACGCAAGCTAATAACGTCACGGGGCCCTCCCTTACCTGGACTTGAATATATTCGCAACATTAAAAACGGCAACTAAGCTCCCACGCGACACAACTGTCATAACTATGCACTAGTCAAATGTAATAGGTCACAGACCTTCCCGGACACAACTATCATAGACTTACTTCGACAACTACTTTTCACTAATCGCTACTTGAGACTGCTCGGACAATTACAAAGTACTACAACTTCACTACTGCAGCTCAGAACTACTTGCAGAAATAATAGACGGCAATGCAACTCAATGGCTAGCTTAGGCAACAGCCTACCACCACGTTAGACGCAAACGAGAATTGACTTATCCGTCAATACTACGGACGTGAGTATCAAGACTCGCTCACTGGCAGGAAGCCAGCGTACAAATCGGATGCTCTTGCTTCGTCTACCAAGTCATCAATCAACCAACATGACCAATGGGCCGCTATCTCTAAATTCGGGACACTCACGAGCATCAGCCGTCATCTAACGGAATTTACAAGAAACTTCACTACTGGGCAGCTCCAGTCTCTACCGAATCTTCTTAAACCAACCTCAGCTCTGACGGCATCTAGACATTCAAAGAAGAACAATCGTAAACAGTATAAACTTCTTTGGTCCTCTGGCTTACTACAATCTCACTTAATTCACTTGTACTTAGCAAATTTAATTTCAATTCATTTATAACTGTTTATTTCCTTTAATTTCTTTTGCGAAACCCGCGCTGATTATCTATGTAGTCGCACTCGCTACACGGCACATCCTCCCGTGTTGCATCTGCTACTGAGACGCCACAGACATATGCTCGCCTGCTCCGAACCCAGCCGCGGAGCAAAGGACGTGCTCTTTGCTGCTGCGAGCGCACAGTGTGCTAATGATGGTACGGAAGGGGGGGGATTTCCCTTGAAAAATAGATAATTATGATTTTTGAATGGCAATTATTATTTAGAATGTTTATGATTCAAAAACAATATGAATTAATATAAAATAGAACATATATTATTACAAAACTTAAACAATATGCGACTCTTTGGCATATCCTCGTAATTCCGTTTGCATTCTTCTACTAGATAATATTTTTGGAAAAGTTTGAAAATTTTAGGACATAATTTTATACAATGGTATTAATGTATATAGTTAATGGTGTTCAATGGTTCAATAACGAATTAGTTCGTTATTAAACCATAATTAATGTAATCTAATAGATAACAAATAGGTACTCTGTAGGGGTCACGTGAGAGAATTTGTACCCCTGATTTGATTATTTTTTATGTGCAGTATTGTTTGATAATGTTGGAAATCCTAGTGATTTTCAGCAACTTTTGCATAATATTCTATCTGATTCCTTCATTCTTCCCTCTCAGTTCTTTTACTCATCCCATCATTTGAAGCTATGTCAATTATCAGAATTTATTTTTATCTCGCAGCTTTCTTTGAATCGCAAAGCTACATATTGCATCTGTAGGTTGGACTTTTTAACACACTGCAGTTCTTTTGATCACATTAAACACTTCGCCATTATTCTAATGTCTACAAAAGGAAACCTTTCTTCCCAAACCAAATAAAATTAACGAGTATACATGGCTCTCCTCTTGCTAGAAACACCGGCAAAGCCCACTGTCAAAAATTTCGCAACCAGACCTTCAATATTTAGATGCGTTTTTTAAGAAAATATCAAATTTTTTAAGTTTTAAGTTTTTTAAGTCACGTGATTCGAGATTATGTCAATCATCAAAATTATTTATACCTCGCAGGTTTCTGTGGGTTGCAAAGCTGCATTGCATCTGTAGGTTGGACTTTTCAACGTACTGCAGTTCTTTCGAACACACTAAGCACTTCTACGTTGTTCCAATGTCTACAAAAGTAAGCCTTTCTTCCCAAACCGAAAGAAAATTAACGCGTGTACATGGGTTCCCCCTTGCCAGAAACACCGGCAAAGGCCCACTGTCAAAAATTTCGCAGCCGGACCGCAGTCTGCCCCTCCCGTGCAATTTGTAACGTATGTGTACAATTCGAGGCGCGGAATTATAGGCAACCTCAGAACAGTTATCTAATAAATTATGTCATAATAACAGAAACAGATATTCCGATTTTGCTTCTACGTTAAACTAATGTGTTACTTAGCAAATTAGTCAAGCCCGATTTCTAAACAAGTTTGCTTTAACATTGAAAACAGATAAATGTATCTTCGACGTTCATTGTATGGTAGCCATTTTTTCGAGCCATTAATCCTTGGCATTGATTTCTGTAAATATTAAGCAATCATTGATTTCAGAACAAAGAATATTAAGGTTCTGAAGGACAATGAAATCTGTATTAGAGGGACAGTGAAGAAATATTGCAGAACGTTTGTGTTAAGATTGGGAGAACTGATTTTGAAGAACAAATTGATCAAAAAGTTTAAGATACTACATTAACTCAAACGCAAAAAAATACTTTAAACAATTCCTACTTCAATAAAAACACGTGTTCAAAAATCCATTGCACCTGTTAGAACTCGCTGCAATACTCAGCATCTTAGTTTATATCGTAATTGCACGTTCAGGCTACGAGTAAGGTACATTCTCACGTTCTGTTTATTTGAATTAATGCTTTCGCCGTCCGATAGTGCCTCTCCCTCCCGGGCCACCGTTCTGCCTATTCAACTCATTCCAGACATCGTGTCTCACATCGGTCGCTTGTCCGCGGTCGGCCGTGAGGGCGCCGGGTCCCATCGCTCCCCACCGAACCACGGACGCGTAACGATTCGCTTGACTCTGTGCCGCTCGAACACACGTTCTGCGTTCTATAGTTACCGTCATGACATCGTGGAGAGCAACATGCAATGAGCTTAGCTCTGCGAACACACCATTCTCCAGCTTTATGTGGAAATGA